CCCCAAAACCCCAAAACCCCAAAACCCCAAAACCCCAGCCTTATTTATTAAATTGAATTGCGTAATGCATTGAATAATAAGATCAAGAATATAAATTAATTTCAGAATTTGAATTAAGAAGATTTAGGCCTGAATTTTATCCAAAAGCGTAATGATTATGGGCCAGAAAGCTAATGACCTTGGCTTTACATTGGCTTGTGCAGATAGTTGAGAGGTACTCCTGACAGTCCAAGTGAGTATGCAAGCTCAATCTCACCATCAGAGGCCTCTACACACTCGGGGTATTCAAAGTCTGATGGACTCACCTCGATGTAATGAACTGTTTCGAGATAACTCCCGTAGCTTTCTGAGATCTCTTGGTCAGGGTGGTATGAGTGGAACTTGGCTGGATACGCAACGTCTTCACCCTTCTCGTTCTGAATGATCTGGACATAGAGCATTGACTTTGATCCTGGCTCGTTTGGATATCCGACTTCATAAAGTTGATAAGTTTTACCTTTGTTCCCGGCGAATCTGAAATGATTGCTCATTAGGTCTGTGAAGTAATCTTCAAGACTGAGTTTTGGAACTTCATTAAAGTAGCATTGTCCAGTTTGGTTGTTATTTCAGAATTAAATCTAAAGATAATTTTAAGTCTAAAATTCTATTGCACAATTGTTTAGAATCCTTGCCAATGTCTCCAAGATAATCCATTTTTATAATTAATCAAGCTTTCTCTTTTATGAATGGAATTTTGAATTTCAAACTTTCTCAACACTTAAAAATATCAATTCAGCAATTGAGTGGTATAAACCATCATTTTTCCTTCATTATAGTCAGTCACAATATCGAAAGCAGAATAAATTGTTGCTTGATCTTATTCTCGGAGAACGAGCAAATTTGGTCAATGAGATAGTTATAGCCTCCAATATTGACTTCTAAAAGACTCTTCACGTTGTAGTCACTAGTTCTGGTAGATTCCTTCAAGAAGCATGAAACTCAGCTCAGATAGAGCAAAGCTAAGACTGTTAGTAACTTGAGCATTTTAATTAATAATAACAAGATTTTCTTCAATAAATAGTTCAGGAAAGGGGTTTTGGGGTTTTGGGGTTTTGGGGTTTTGGGGTTTTGGGG